AAGTCACAACCAAAAGGCTTAACAATCCCTGGCTTACAAAGGGAATACTTAAATCCATTAATAAAAAACATGACCTTGAGAAGAAGTATAGGTTAGGAATTGTCTCCAAAGAATTCTCAAAGAATTACTCGTTATTGCTATCTAAGATAATTAGTCGAGCCAAAACTAAATACTACAAAGATAAATTTACCCAAATAAAGAGCAACATTAAAAACACTTGGAGCACAATTTCACAAATATTGGGATCAAAGAAGATTTTAAATAACAAACCAACACTCCTGTCCAATAATGATGGTCAGCTTTCAGCCTCTGATTCTGCTATTGAGTTCAATAGGTTCTTCTCTTCCATTGGGTCATCCCTTGCAAATGATATTCCATCTTCCAGTACTGATGTTAAGGACTATCTTACAGGTAAGTACCCACAGTCTCTGTACCTAAAACCTATTAATTCCCCTGACATCAATGAGATAATCCTTTCCCTTAAAACCAAGTCTATTGCCCTTGAGGAGATACCAACTTTAATTTACAAAAAAGCCTCCAGATCTTTAGCCCCTGCTATTGCATTGCTCTTCAACAAGTCACTTGAACTCCAAACCTTTCTAGATATTCTAAAAACAGCGAGAGTAACCCCTGTACACAAATGTGGTGATCTCACAGGTGTTAACAGCTACAGACCTATATCAATCCTGCCTAACTTGTCAAAAATTTTTGAAAAACAAATCTACAAGCAGTTTTACTCATATCTAGCCAAACACAATATACTTAGCTCTTGCCAATATGGCTTCAGACCTAAAAAAAAAACTAACGATGCACTTATTAGTATGATTAACTTGATTCATGCAGCTCTTGATAAAAATGAGTTCCCTGTTGGGTTATTTGTGGACCTGTGTAAGGCTTTTGACACTATCAACCACCAAAACCTTCTTCTTAAATTACATCATTATGAAGTCAGAGGTCACTCCCTGCAATACCTCAAATCTTACCTTACTGACAGGCTCCAGTATGTTTCTGTGAATAATTCAATTTCTCCCACCCTACCCATCAACATTGGTGTTCCTCAGGGCAGCATACTTGGCCCTCTCCACTTTCTCATCTACATTAATGACCTTCCAAATGCCTCCAATACCTCAAAATAAACAATACCCAAATTTGTAACAAATTAGATGGCAAATTCCTTGGCGTTCTCATTGACCACAAGCTGAATTTCCAGGGACACATTCTAAATATATCAAAAAAAGTTTCAAAAACTGTTGGCATTCTTTCTATGATCAGATATTATGTACCCCGCCCTGCCCTGGTGACTCTCTATTACTCCCTCATCTATCCATATCTCAACTATGGTATTTGTGCTTGGGGTTCTACTACCCAAATTCATTTACATCCTCTAATTACTCAACACAAAGCAGCTATTAGGACAATATCCAACTCTGGCCCCAGACATCACTCGGTACCCCTACTCAAATCTCTGAATATGTTAGATATTAAATTCCCTGTAACCTACCGTACCCCTCTATTGTCAATCTATTTCTGTTTTTTTTTAAACGATGCTGTTTGTCGACCTAATTGTATTTGTGCTGCTTTTTCAACCACGTTCCATCCTTTTTATCTTTTTTTTCTATTTGTTCTCAACACATTTTATTCTTTATGCTCGATTAGTATTAAGGTTTAATCATTTAAGTTTTTCATGCCCGAAACGCTTTGCGTAATAGTGGCTTTAGGCATTGTATGTATTAGCCCTATCTATAAATCCATCATTCTTTGTAAAATCTCTTATGTACCTTACCTAAATAAACATTTATTTATTTATTTATTTATTTTTAGCTGCTATGAAGTCTGGAAGTTGGGGCGTGACGTCATCATTCACCGTGCACCCGTGCCATAAGCTCTCGGGGGCGGTGGGGCGCTCGGGGCGGGGCGCGCGAGTTGCCGCGAATATATTTTCGTTCATTTTTTGCGCACTTTTCCAAATACATTTTCATTATTTTTATGTGCCAATCCAATGTATAATGAACACGTACACTATAATATCGCAGTACAACATCCGTACTGTCCGTAGACACTGTTATGTGCATGAAACTTGTGTACACATATGCAGCACATATTTACTATGTATCATGCTAATTTGTGTATATATACAATCTATTTACACACTATACACTGTCACACACTATATACATTCACCATCAACACGTTCAGAACACCGCGAGTGAGAGCTGCCACACCCATGCAGCGAGCCCTCCCTCACTTCTCCACCATTGTATTCGCCAACCTTCCTCCTCCCATCATACATTTATTCACACCAATGTTTCATGTTCATTTATGTATATTTACAACATATGTACTCACTATACACTGTCACACACTATATACATTTACCATCAACACATTCAGAACATCGCGTAGCAGCTGCTTCGTATGGGCCAATAGCAGCTGCCTCGTATGGGCCAATAGCAGCTGCCTCGTATGGGCCAATAGCAGCTGCCTTGTATGGGCCTATAGCAGCTGCCTCATATGGGCCAATAGCAGCTGCCGCATATGGGCCAATAGCAGCTGCCTCGTATGGGCCAATAGGAGCATTTGGCCATGAACACATTCAGAACACCTCGAGTGAGAGCAGCCACACCCAGCAAGTCTCCCTCACTCCAACATCTTACTCGCCAACATTGCTCCTCCCACCATATTGCTATAGTTCTTATTACACATGTTCTATATACCTATCTACATGTTTTATTTGCCAGAACTATGCAAGTAAGCCGGTATTGTGTCCAAACAGTACAGTGAGCACCATACACTGCATGAAAAATCACACAGCAGACGATGCTACGATTACGTCACCCCCCTCACCAAAATAGCTCCTCTCAACATTCTCCTGTTGCTGTTCTTACACTATATACACACACTATATATACCCATGTGCATATGTGTTGCCCATAGCGAACCACTAAGCTAGTATGGTGAGAAAAACAAGTGGCAGCCACACACACACACAATGAGGTTACCTCAATTCTCGCCCTCCCTCCCTCATCAAAATTCCTCCTTCCACAATACTACGCACAACGCTAATTATAACCACAATCCTGCTATTATCACAATCCTGGTCACTAATTCCTGTAAATGAATAATTGACCACACGTTTATTTTGAAAAGGAACCTAAGAAATCATTTGAAGATTCCTAGATGAACAAAATAATGCTGTGGTGCTGTGGCTAGCGCTGTGAACATCGTGAACAGCATTGAATCACTGATATTTGAACATTGTACCCAGTCATTATCACACTCAGGCTTTAATATAACACTATCATAGCTAAATAATACAAGTTATATATATATTTTGACATTATCAGGCGATGCTGTGGTCACATGCTGAACAGCAGTGCTGTGCGCTCATGCTGCGAGCGCCAGCCTTGGTTGCTCACACACTACTGAGGCTCCCACACCCGGGAATGTGGACCACGATTTTTTTTAAAGATGGCGTCTGTTTACAAGAGCCCTGAGGAAGCTGATGTGAACCCCATGTAGCGGCGGGAGTTTTGAATGGAACGTGAAAAATACAAATACCCGGAGGCGCGTTGCGCAAACCAGACGTGAGCCTGCAGGCGCGTTGCGCAGTTTATGGGTTAAGTGGATTTTTTTTAGTTCATTATTAACAACATTATTTAGTGTATGTGGGTTGGGGTTAGAGTAGATGAGGGTAGTATCATCAGGAAACAATATAGGTTTCAGAATGTTAGAGACATTAGGCAGATCATTGATGTATATAAGAAATAGGAGAGATCCCAAGATGCTGCCCTGTGGCACCAACGGTTATTGATACAGTAACTCATCTTTTATGTATGTACTTTTACTTGACTAAACAATTGAATTTTGAATTTGAATTTGAATAATATACACTTGGAAAATACTAGATGGAATGGTTCCAAATCTGCACAAAGAAATAACATTTCATAAGACTAGAAGGCATGGCAGGATGTACAAAATAGCCCCATTGAAAAGCAGAAGTGTAATATGCATGCTGAGAGAGAACTCTTTATCAACATCAAAGGCCCAAAATTGTTAAACACACTCCCCTGCATATACGGAGCATGATTCCCAGTCTCCTGTTGGACGCGGTGTTGAAAGATCGCTCTGTCTTTGAAATTCAGATGTTATTGTTTTTAGAAAATAAGGGTCATGATATTTATTTATTTATTTATTCATATACAAGAAGGTACATTGTGTTTATGAGAGTACATAGCATTAATGTTTATACATTCTTGTAAAGCCACAAACATGCATAGCATTTCGGGTAGGTTCTTAATCTGACAAGGTGTCAGATTAAGTGGTCAGGGTGTTCTTAATCTGGCGAAGGGTGTATGTGAGTGGGTTGTTTGCAAGCACACAGAATAAAGAAATAAGAAGTGAAAATCTGTGTGTACCAAATGCATTGAGTGCGAAATCATGCTGTGTACCATGGACTGCTTCTTTGATTATCACTCATTTCCAGAGAATGCAATACAATGTATGACTGTGTAGTGTGCGTGAGTGTACATAGTGTAAATAAACTGAGTATTGAACAAGTAATATTTCAACAATAAATATTTTCTGTGGACTCATTAGTGACACATGAATCACAGTTCCTTGGAACATTATGAACATTCTACTGTGTACATATTGTAAAGGACACAGATGGGCATCAGATACGCTAACAAAAAAAAAGTAATTAGAGAGCACTGAAAAAATTAATTAAAATATATTTTTGTCAACTCGTGGGTCTTAAATTGCCCGTGCGACCTCCTCCAGGAGTCTGTATGCATAGACATAGTCTGTACGTATGGACATACAGTCTGTATGCATGGACATACAGTCTGTATGCACTGTCTGTACGCATGGACGTACAGACAGTAATGACGTCATGTCGCATGATCGTCTCCACGTCACCACAGCCAAAGTAAATTTTTTCTATATTTTTTTACATGTACTTGTTTGGGGAAGGATTTTAACAATTTACAAAGAAAAACAAGTTTTGGGGTAACACTTTATTTTTGGCACATCACCAGATTGTCACAATAAATGTAGCGCAGCACGGAGGTTAATTAGCAAAAAGTTCCAATATTGTGCTACTTGCATTATTTTTCACTGGAATAAAATAAATTTCAATCAGCATGTATTCTATCCCAAACTGTTGTCATCTTAGACACTGATAACTGTGGTATAAGAACAGCATGAGAGCAGCGAGGATGAGGCAGCCAACAGGGAACGTCTACCATCTTGGCATTTCCAGCTACTAAGGATACCCAAATGCCCATACTGACATCTTCACCCCCATAAGTAGTCAGGTATGACACTGCAGCAGTTAGAGTGCGTGCAAGAGATCCTGCAAGTATAAAACTTAACTTAATTTACAACTTGATGAGGAAAAGTTTTAATTTACAACTTCATGAGAATCTGGGTGTTTCCCGAAAAGCTGTGTGTATTAGTTGCTTAACCCTTAAATGGTGCCTGGCTATTTAGCATGTGTCACCCACAGGCGCATACAAGAAAAAAAAATACAAAAATCTTCTAAACCTGTTAATTTGTGTTCACTGATCATGGGAAAAATAATAACAAAATCGTAAGTGGAATATATTGCCCGCTACAGGGTGGGGACGTCTGGCAAAAAACAGGCGCTGACTCAGCGTGCGTCCCAGACGGTCTGTTGCTCGCCACCTGTCAGGCCGGAGATGCCACAAAGAGATAATTACTTAATTATTTCAATGTCTCTGATTGATTTTTCGTAGTTTTTTGCTGTAATATTATTCAATAGTGTGTAGTGTGATATATTTATATAATAAAATGAGTGAATCATCGCTGTACTCAAAAATATGGTGTGCATATTGTTGATTCAATTATGTTCATCAAAGAGTGAACAAATACTTTGTCAGTTATTACACTATATACACAGGTTATATATAAGTATCTGCATGTTTTGTTCACCGTAACAAACCACTAAGTCGCTATTATAAGTAAAAAAGTAACGAGGAGTGACCGCCACACACCAGCCAGCCACTCGCTGCCACTCACTCCCTCAACACCTCACTCGCCCACATTCTCCTCCCACCATACTGTTTTTGCTTTTATTCACTATATACAGACGTTATATAAAAGTATCTACATTCGTGTTCACCATAACGAACCACTAAGTTGGCATGCTGAGTGGCAGTGGCAGCCCGCCACTAGCTGCTACTTCCACCCTCCCTCAAGTCACCTGACTCGCCCACATTCTCCTCCCACAATACTGTTTTTTATTTTACTTACTACAGACGTTATATATAATTATCTACATTCGTGTTCACCGTAACGAACTGCTAAGTTGGTATGCTGAGTGGCAGTGGCAGCCAGTGGCAACCCGCCACTGGCTGCCACTCCCTCCCTCACCTCACCTCACCTGACTTGCCACCATTCTCCTCCCACCATACTGTTTTTGCTTTTATATACAGACGTTATATATAAGTATTTACATGTTTTGTTTATCATAACTGTACATCTAAGCTTGTATGGTGAGTAAAGGCACAAAGACTTAGCTACTCACACAGTCAGCTGGTGGCAGCCGCCCTCAAGGCCAGACGCACTAATATTTCTACTCCAACAATACTGTTTGTGGTGTTATTACGCTATATACACACATTATATATAAGTATCTACCTGTTTTATTCACCATACTTGTACAAGTAAATTGGTATGGTGCCCAAAGACCATAGTGGTCACCAGTAAACAACATGATAAGTCGTGCAGACGACGCACCTCCCCCACTAAAATGGCGGCTCCCAACCTACTCCTATTGCTGTTATTACACTCTATACACACGTTATATATAAGTATCTACATTTGTGTTCACCATAGCGAACCACTAAGCTGATATGGTGAGTGTAGTCAATAAAAGGTGGCCACACACAGTCAGAAGACAATGCCACCACCCTCCCTCCCATAGCATTACTCATCCCTCCATGGAGCACAGCGCTAAATATCACCACAATCCTGCTATTATCAGAACCCTGGTCAGTTTTATCACAGTCAGGGGTCTTCTGTAATAACATCATCGCTAAATAATAGCAAGAACATGTATGTTATGACATTTTTAGGCGATGCTGTGGTCACAAGCTGAACAGCAGTGCTGTGAGCTCATGCTGCGTGCATCAGGCTTGGTAGCTCACTCAATACTGAGGCATCTCACACCCGGGAATTTGGCCCACGATTTTTTTTTTAAATGGTGTCTGTTTACAAGAGTCCTAATAAAGGTGTGGTGAACCCCGTGTATCCGCGGGCCGTTTAAATCTTGTGCGGTACTCCAAAACATCATATGATGCCGAGCGCAAGTTACTGCAAGTCACTCAACGCATCATATGATGTCTTGCGCAACTAAAGGGTTAAGGCATTGTATGTACTAGCTCTATCTAGAAGTCCAACATTATGTTTATAACTCATCTTGTATGTATGTACTTTTACCTGAATAAACATTTTATTTTATTTGAATAAAAACCTGAGGTATAGCTTAAGTGCAGGGTGGTACAACTATGTGCCCATGGTTCACATGTGGTATGCAGGCTGATTTTTTGCCTTTAAAGTACTCATGCTAATATATAGATTTATTCTTAAAAAAAAAAAGACAATGTAATGAAATGCCTCTTGCTAGTAGCTCCCTGAAGATATCTTCCCGAGATTGCTTTGTACTAAAAAGTCACATCAGCTGTAGACATTCTGTTTGCTATACCAGGGACCAAAGCCAGAACCTCGCCTCCTCACAAAGGGACAGGGAGCGGATGACAATTGCTATCCCACTTGAAAAACCTCCAGAGTGTCAGAACAGCTTTTTACAAGAGGGTTCAAAGTAACTAAAGCCTTGAAACCATTAAACAACTCTACACACTATTCACACAAAACAAAGGCTTCACACAAATGAGCTCAAAACTCAATAGTGCCAATTACCACCACCAAGCAGCCCACCATGTCAGTTCTGGATCTGATGAACAAACCAGGGATGAACCTGGAGGGAGGGAGGGAGGGAGGAAGGGTCTTTGGAAGCCTGCAGTGCTCCAGAAAGAGGTATTTCATTCAACACTGGATTTCTGGAGGGAGCCCTTCCCCTGGTGGCTTCTTGAAGCTAATTAACCACAGAAAACAAGAAAGGAACTTACTAGGAAGGAGGAAAGGTCGCAGACATTAAGAAGAGAATCCAGGCCGGGTGACACGATGCAATGCCACTCAGGACCATGTAATGACTGGTATGTTAACCTTTTAACTGCGCAACGCACCTGCAGGCCCACGCTTGGGGTGTGCTACGCGCCTCCGGGTATTTGTATTTTTTACGTTTGATTTAAAAGTGGCACGCAGTGATGTGGGTATGGAATGGATGGCTGGGGGCCCCAGTGATCGTCCGCCACCTTGAAAAAAATTCCCAGCATGCCCCGCGGCCGTGGGGAGCCCCAGTTCCCAAGCAGCAACCATGTCTGACGCATCGTCAACGAGCTCCCGCTCCACGGTGACCCACAATCATGGAAAACTACTCTCTGAGGAAGAGATTCGCAATATTTTGTACGACGGTGCTATGGATGATGACCTGGACTATGATCCAGAGAAAGATCTGACACACAGGTCTGATACGAGTGAGGGAGAGATGGAAGTGGATGATGTGGCGAGCGTGTACAGTACACGCTCCCCGCCTGGCCTGTCTCGCCGCCCTGGGTCAACACCGTTATCATCACCACCATCATGTATGTCCCCAGACGCTAGTTTATTCAGTGACCGTACATGTGACGAATCTCTCTCGGGCTTCAGTGACATTGGCTCTGATTCGAGTAGTGTGGATGACCCGAGTACTAGCAGCGGGGGTGGTACCAGGTGCGGTTTTGCTGCCTCAGCAACACGTAGAGGTAGGCGGCAGCGTGTCTCCCAGCATGACGACAGTGGGCCTTCAACATCAGGTGTTCGTGGTAGGCCTACGGTACGGAAATCTGCCTCACGCAGCTCCAGCAGCAGACGACGTAGCTGTGGTTTTGGTGCCCATGGTGGTGTTGGCCGTGGTGTTGGCGCCAACACCAAACCCCCTGGTGTACCTGTGGGGAGGATTGCTCCACATTTGTCCCTCAAATACCAACGTTTGATGATACCGACGTTGGTGTTACAGCTTTATTCCCGTATACCGGTGATGATATGGCGAACATGCAATATTTCCAGGCATATTTCGACAATGTATTCATGGCTCATCTTGTGACCAAGACAAACACATACGCCCACACCCTCATAGACGGTGGCATATTACCTGCCCCACGCCTCATGTGATAGAAGGATATGACAATCGACGAGATGTACGTGTTTCTCACACTATGTATGATGATGAAACACTCCGAGAAAGCTGTCATCCAGGGCTATTGGAACAAAGACAGCCTTGTTCCATCGCCCATCTTCAACCGGTATATGTCGTGGGATAGGTTCCTGTTAATTCTGAGGTGCCTGCATTTCGAAAACAATGCAAACGAGGACAGACACGACAGACTGTGGAAGGTATGCAAGGTACTCAGCGACCTGCGAGGGAAAGTTCAGGGATTATTTTGTGCCTGGACAGAATGTCTTTATCGCCGAGTCGCTTGTATTGTTCAAGGGCAGACTGGCATCCAAGCAGTACATCCCTTCCAGGTGGCACCGTTTTGGCCTGAAGTTTTTCGTGCTGTGTGATTATGAGACTGGTATCGTCCTGGACATGATCTTGTATTCCGGTATAGATGTCGACATACCAGCTCAAGATGAACATGGGTTCTCCGGCAGTGTCGTAAAAACCCTGATGGAACCGTTGCTGAACAAGGGGCATATACGGTTCCTCGACAACTATTACACCAGCCACCTGTTGACCAGATACCTCCTCGCCCACAACACCGACGTATGTGGCACTGTGAAGCTCATCAGGAAGGAAATGCCAGTGTTCGGTATAGGTATAGATGTGTGTGAGTGCCAGCTGCGCAAGTGTAATAATATGCTGTCAGTGCAGTGGAAGGACAGATGCAAAGTGAATATGCTGACGACGATTCACACCGGTGCCATGTTGGACGCTGGCAAGGTCCATTTTCAGACACACAACCCCATGTCCAAGCCAGACTGTGTCATAGACTATAACGTGAACATGCGCCTCGTCGCTAAGTGTGCCATGATGCTTGGTAATTACCTGAGTGTAGTTTATTTATTTATTTATTTATTTATTTATGCATATACAAGAAGGTACATTGGGAATGTGAGGATACATAATATGGTGATTACAGTCTTGTAAAGCCACTAGTACGCGCAACGTTTCGGGCAGGTCCTTATTCTAAGAAAATTTTAAGTAGGTAAATACTTGCAAAATTTATA